TTGACATACCCCCTAGGCTAGACAAGGGGCGGTGCCTGGCAAGAGAAACGCAGCTCTGGGTGGCACTACTAGTCCAACCTCTGAGGCAAGGCTCTGAAGACCAGTCAGTAGAGTACAAACAAGACAAGAGCAAACCAGGGCGGCACTACTAGTCCGGCCTTTGGAGCAAAAGCCACAAGGCCAGTCAGGGTAAGATATATATATAGATATATATACATATATAAAGGTTAGTCCATAATCAAGGTCCTAGCAAGTGAGGAGCTACTGGAACTAGACCAAGCAATACACAGTGCCGCTGATGATCTTTAGGCGCAAGCGCCTTAGTAAAGATATCAGCTATCTTAGCACTGGAGGCCAAGAGAACTACACGGGCCTGGCGTCGCTGCTGTAGCTCGCGCAGGAGGAAGTACCGCAGCTGGATGTGCTTCGCTCTGCCCTCCAGTCGAGGCTCCTGACATATTAGGACCATGGCCCTGTTGTCAGCGTACAGGACCGGAGCAGAGCTTGGCCGCTCACCTAAGACTTGGTGAGCGCCATGGCACCTGCGTAGATCTCAGCCTCGCAGCTAGACTGTGCAACAGACGACGAGCGGGTGGACCTCCGGAGACAGCGCCTGCACCAAGGCTAAAGCACTAGCCCTGAGAGGACATGATCGTTTGTTCGTCGTCGGCCCACGAAGCGTCTGTGTGCCCTATCAGGACCACTAGCACTAGCCCCATGCACGATGTACTTGCTGGATAACGCAAAACCCTCTTAGCTGCCGACCAGTGCTATGGTCAGTGTCTGCGTATCGCCCCAAAGCGAGCCAAGATTCTAAGAGGGTACGCGAGATCTAGACGAGTGCAAGTTATCAGGTACATGAGGCAACCCACCAGCTCTGCGTAGGGACCACTAGGCTCTACAGCCTCCTCCAGGATTGGAGCAGAGAGTCTTTGGTCTACAAGCAGAGGGGTGGGCTGTGCGGAAGAGAACTGAAGGCCGAACCTCTGAAGGACCTGGCACACCAAGTGTGACTATGAGAGAGTGATGGTGCGCGCTGCTCTGTCCCTGGAGTTCTGCAAGCCAAGTATTTGAACGTATGCAAGAGTACTGTGCACGATTTCATGTTGAATGTTATCTCTAAGACTAGCCATGCTGAGGTGTGACAAAGATGCCATTAGTCGATTGGTCTCGTCTTATCATGGATCGTCTTCATCGCACCATTGTAGGTAAAAATTACAAGCATAGTGGCGAAAAATTGCGTATCTGCCACGAAACTTAGGGTAACATAGCACGGTTAACGGTGCATCATTGCACTATTAGAATCACGATAGGATCCGTAGGTCTCTAAGCGGTGCAGCAGTCGAAGTAGTCGTGACTGGTGGGGGAAAATATCCGGGTTCAGGTCTGGTGAGGAAGAGGGTCTCGCGGTGGAGACACTCGCACAATTCGAGAAGGACGTTAAGCGAACCGACATCAGGTTCCTAGCGATAGCAACAGAGGTGGAAAAAGGCGGGGAGAACACCTCGGAACCTCCACAAAAAATCAAGGAAGTACTGAAGGAGTTCCAAGACATTCTTCCCGACGACCTTCCAAACGAGCTACCGCTATACCGAACGCACCAACACGAGATCGTGGAAGAACCAGATTCGAAGCCGACCTTCCGAGCACCATATTGGCTCTGCCCCATGGAGCTAGCTGACATGAAGAAGCAGATCAAGTATCTCCTCTCAAATGGACTCATCCGACCATCCACTTCACCATACGGTGCCCCATTACTCTTCACACCGAAACCGGACAGAAGCCTGCGCATGTGCATCGATTACCAAGCTCTCAACAAGCAGACCATCAAGAACAAATACCCAATCCCACGAATCGATGACCTGCTTGACCAGCTTGGGGGAGCCACGGTATTTTCCAAACTGGATCTGCGGTCCGGATACCAGCAGATACAAATGGCGGACAATTCCATCCACAAAACTGCCTTCCGAAATTGATACAGGTCGTATGAGTATCTGGTAATGCCGTTCGGACTCACCAACGCACTAGCAACGTTCCAAGCTGAGATAAACCATATTCTACGCCCACTCTTGGACGAATGCGTGGTGGTGTACTTGGATGACATTCTCATCTACTCGCGCGACATGCAGCAACACGTCCAACACCTGCGACGCGTCTTCGACATTCTCCAATGAGAATGATTCTACGTCAAGTTATCCAAGAGCAAATTCGCCCTCGAGAAAGTCCAATTCCTAGGACACATGGTGAGTACTCAAGGAGTTCATGTCGACCCCAAGAAAATCGAAGCCGTACGCACGTGGAAGACACTCGAGAACGTGAAGGAGTTACAGCAGTTCCTAGGCTTAGCTAGCTATTATAACAGGTTCGTGCCATAGTACGCAAAAATCGCAACGCCACTCACGAATCTGCTGAAGAAGAACATGCCCTATAAGTGGGAACCAAAGCATTAGGAAGCCATGGAGCAGCTGAAACAAGCATTCACGTCCGCGCCTGTACTCATTTTGCCAGACCCCGAACGCGACTACGTCATAGAAGCTGACGCTAGTGACCAGGCAGTGGGAGCAGTCTTGATGCAAGACCAGGGGAATGGACTGCAACCAATCGCCTACCTCAGCAAGAAACTACACGGGGCAGAACTCAACTACCCGATACACGACAAAGAGGCCCTCGCTATTATCATCGCCTTCAAAACGTGGAGATGTTATCTCGAAGGACGACACACAACCGTCTACACCGACCACTGTAGCCTAAAATATCCGAAGACACAACCAAACATCTCCAGGCGGCAGGTCCGGTGGATTGACTTCCTCGAGACGCACTTCCACTATGACATTGTGTACAAGCCCGGCCACAAAAACAAAGCAGACGCTCTTAGTCGGCCTGCACACGTTGCCGCCATCCAAGTCGAAGGGATGGACCCACTTCTCAAGGGACTCTTCAGATACGGGTACGCCATCGACCCCGAAATTCCTTTAGCAGCAAAACGACACCTGCTACAATGGGACAGTGACATCGCATACCGGAAGGGATCAACAAAAATTTGGGTACCCAATTACCCTCCTTTGCGCCAGTTACTACTCGAAGAATACAACGATGTCCTATACGCGGGACACTTCGGTAGCAACAAGACGCTCACCGGTATTGCAAAGCACTACTACTGGCCCCACATGGCAGCCGACGTCCAACAATTCGTCACCTCTTGTGTTACTTGTCAGCGGATGAAGAGCAGCAAGCAGAAAAAGCAGGACTGCTACAGCCTCTTCCTGTCCCAGAACAGCCATGGCAAGTGGTTAGCCTGGATCTCATAACCGGGTTACCAATTACCACTAGTGGTTATGACACAATCCTCGTCGTCATCGACAAATTCTCCAAAATGTGACATTTCATCCTGACACATACGACAGCACGCACCGAAGAAACGGCACAACTATTCGTTCGCTACATCATCTCACAACATATCATTCCGACCACACTCATCTCCGACCGAGACCCCAAGTTCACCAACAAGTTCTGGAAGGAACTAATGTCTCTGCTTGGGACCAAACTCGCCATGTCATCCGCCTACCATTCGCAGATAGATGGACAGACCGAGCGCCTCAACCAAATTGTGGAACAACTCCTCCGCGCAGCACGCAAAGACGACATCTCTAAATGGGACTAGCATCTGCTTGTCCTGTAGTTTGCCTACGTAGGTGAGCGGCCTAGCTCTGCCCCGGTCTTGTACGCTGACAACAGGGCCATGATCCTCATATGTCAGGAGCCTTGACTCGAGGGCAGAGCGAAGCACATTCAGCTGCGGTACTTCCTCCTACGCGAGCTACAGCAGCGCCGCCAGGCCCGCGTAGTACACTTGGCCTCCGGTGCCAACACTGCTGATATCTTTACTAAGGCGCTTGCGCCTAAAGATCATCAGCGGCACTGTTTGCAGCTGGATCTAGTTCTAGTAGCTCCTCACCTGCTAGGACCTTGATTGTGTACTCCTCTTATATATATTCCTTCTTGTCTGGCCTTGTGGCTACTGTTCTAGTGGCCGGACTAGTAGTGCCGCCCTGGCTTGCTCTAGTCGAGTTTGTACTCTTGTTGGCCGGTCTTCGGACCCTAGTCTCTAAGGTTGGACTAGTAGTGCTGCTCTGAGTTGCTTGTCTCTTGTCAGGCACTACCCCTTGTCCAATCTAGGGGGTGTGTCAAACATATTTGTATATGTTGCTGTAGACTAGATAGGGGCATGCCTTAGCGAGTACAACCTTTTAGGTAAAAACACATCTTGTGCTCAAAGTTATTCAGATGCAGAGGGACGATAACCGGTATGTTCTTAGCCACCAAGTCTCTCTACTTCCTTATGCAGGGTGTTTTTCAACTCGACATGTTATGCAGGGAAAGGCTCCTCACGGACTGCAGGGAGAACGGGCCGGATTGAGAAATTGAGGGGCGAAAATTGAAAGTTTAGGTCAAGTGCACACGTAGGAACACCCATTCACATGCGCACGAAGATACAAAATTCATATGCAAACCATTCACATGTACAGGCACACAGCACATCCATCAAAGCACATGTACATACAGTTGATGAGAGAGATGCATAGCAAACAGCTCCAACAGATCCCTTAAGACCTAGATCCTCGGCCCCACCCTCCCAACAGGCTTCAGCTTAGCATAGCCAGATCTTAGGGTACATTCATACGAGCTACGGCAGTTTAGCTTTCGTCATTTTGGTGTAGATTCCTCGAGCCGCGCGGCAGTTTGGTCCAACTTCTCATCACATTGTATTTTTTGTTTGCGACCCTTAGCGATACCTCAGCAATTCCACAAGACATGTGATAATTGGTTGACTGTATACACACATTCCCATTGTCGAACATGTTGAAAACACAAAACTCGAGAACCTCATTTTGCTGACCCTAGCGCAGTGTGACAACTGTTAGAATCTGAAGTAGGACGAAAAGAGGAGGCCGCCATGAAATGGCGGCCGAGGGTTTAGCTAGGAGCTGGACGAGAGTGTCGAGAGAGAAGAGAATAGATTAGAAAGAGAGAGGAGTACAAGGAGGGGTTTGTACCCTCTACAGTAAGGTTCGGTAACAACCTACCAAGCCTATATTAAATTATAACTTATATAATTTGAACACACCTCCTAGGCTTGGTAGTGTCAAGCCCACTCACACCCCCACATCCACACCCACACCCACACCCACACCCACACCCCCTAGCCCAGCACCCCCATTCCCAGCAGGAACCGAAACGACTCCGGAAGTGGGCAGATCCCACGGCCCGCGGGATGGCTATGGCGGCAGCAGCGACAGTGACGACAGCGGCGGCGGCGGCGGTGTGCGGCGGCGCCCGGCCCGCGGCAACAGCGGCGGCTTGAACGTCAGAGGCTGGTGCAGCGGCCCCCGCCCTCTCGGCGGCATGTCCATTCCCCTCGGCGGTGGGGAGGGCCCTCATGAGGCAGTCGTCGGCTGCAGCAAGGAGGTGGGGGATGCAGGGGAAGGAGGGGGAGGCAGGTGGGGGGGGGGGGAGGGACGAATCTTCAGCGACGCGCCATAAATGGCGCGACGCTTACTGGCGGGACAGCGGCGACGCTGATGCAGCGGCGACGAGGCGGACGGGCGATGGCAGCACCACGAGGCCGCGGCGGCATCCCGCAACGGCCATCACAGCGGCACGAAGACAAGAAGCCGCGACGGCGGCACAAAAGCGGGAGGCCGCCACGGCGGCACAACGACAAGTGGCCGCCACGGCGGCAGGAAAATAAGGGGCCGCGACGGCGGCACAGGCGCAGACGATTAAAGCACGCGGCGGAAGCGTGGGGAGCAGGCCCACAAACGGTCACCTGCTCTGATATCATGTTAGAATCTGAAGTAGGACGAAAAGAGGAGGCCGCCATGAAATGGCGGCCAAGGGTTTAGCTAGGAGCTGGACGAGAGTGTCGAGAGAGAAGATAATAGATTAGAAAGAGAGAGGAGTACAAGGAGGGGTTTGTACCCTCTATAGTAAGGTTCGGTAACAACCTACCAAGCCTATATTAAATTATAACTTATATAATTTGAACAACAACACCAGGAACAAACAGACACGGAAAACTTAGCAGCACCCTGCTAGGGATCGAGCCCATCAGACGTGCAAAAGGCCATTGAAGCCTCTTTCTTTTTTTCCGGGCGTTGGCAGTTGGGTTGGGCAAAGTTTCGGGTCTGCCCAGGCTCGGGATAGGGCTGAACTCCCAGCTGTGTTGCTCCCAACATTCGGGAGCAGCGGCAATTCACAGCTGTCGTGAGATTTCACCGCATTCGTTCGTTCAAGTTGCGTACATCGCAGAGCCCAATCCGAGCGTTACAGAAGTCGCACAAAAGCGGCCAGCAGAACTGATGAGTGGTACAATATGCAGGAACCTTTCGTCACTTTATAAACTGCCGTGATGAAAGGCTTGTAGGAATGTACCCTTAGTCCCTGCCTCAAAACAGAGGCTACCCAAAATGATTGAGTAAAAGGTTTCTTGTCATAAGTCTGCAAAAATAAAGAATCCTAGCACTCGCCCCTCTTCTCTCCCCCCCATGTTGGCGAAGGGAAGCATAAAAATATTCCTTACAGCGATGGCCCTGAAACCAGCAACAAACCCCATGGAAAAGAAAAGCACAATCAAGGGGTGTTCCGAGAATTGAACTCGGGACCTCTCGCACCCTAAGCGAGAATCATGCCACTAGACCAAACACCCACATTCTACGAGTACCTAACGATAATTTAAAGGAAGTGATTATCCCCACTACAGCTCCTTACAACTGCTCCCATCCAATCAGAGACCAACCCTCCCAACAAGCTTTAGCTTAGCATACTCAGACGATGGTACTGGTCTCAGATAGAGGCAGGGCCTAACCAGAATCATTGGAAAGCCAGAATGACTGAGAAAAGAAAGGTTTGTCATCAACAACCTGCCAAAACAAAGATTTTTTAAAAAGGATCCCTTCGCGGAGCACCTGGCAGCTCCCCCTCCCCCCCCCCCCCCCACCCATTACCGCGGGCATGCACAGGACCCATGCACGCATGCTAGCAAGCACACTCTCACCTCGTTCTCTGCTTGTTTAATCTGCTCGTTTAATCCCCATCCTCAGCCTCAGCACACACACACAAGCAGGGTGGCACATACACGCACCTCTGTCTCTGAGTGTTCTTCTAATCTAACAGGCAGGCTATGCAGGAAGAGGCTCCTCACGGACTGTAAGGAGAAGGGGGTCAGGTTGACATAAGGAGAGAGGGGAAAAGGTGGAAAGTTAGGAAGGTCAAATGTACGCATGTGAAGAAACTCATTCCCATGCAGAGAGGGACAGTGCAACTCGCATGCACATCCATTCACATGCACACGGCTGTATTTACCAACAACACAAATGTACATAACATTTCGAGCACTCATACCCACTGCTTTTGAGTCGACGCAAAATGCCACATTTACCAACACATATGTACAACGCACATGCGCGTACATAACACATGGGCTTGGGCACACACCACATCCGCCAACAAACATGTACCACGCTCATGCTCACACGTAACATTTGTTCCAAGCACTCATAACGTTTGTTCCGAGCACACATAACATTTGTTCCAAGCACACATAACATTTGTTCCAAGCACTCATAACGTTTGTCCCAAGCACACATAACATTTGTTCCAAGCACACATAACATTTGTTCCAAGCACACATAACATTTGTTCCAAGCACACATAACATTTGTTCCAAGCACACATAACATTTGTTCCAAGCACACATATCCACAGAGCTGCTGACAACGCAGAGGAGGCTACCGATTCAGAACCCCATTCAGAGTTCTTCTCCCCCCCCCCCTCTCCAGCAGGCTTCAGCTTAGCATAGCCAGATCGTGGTCACGGCCTCAAAGTAGAGGAGGCTACCCGAAATGGTTGAGAAGATAAGGGTTTTTCATCATCAGCCTGCCAAACAAAGAACCCTCGCACCCAACCTCTCTCTCCTCTTCCCACCGCCTGTATCCCTCCCCCCCACATCGCTCTCATTCTCTCGCACCCACAATCACCCCACGATGCTAATGTGCACACCCACCCTTTTTTTCTGCTTGTTTCATCCACAGCTTTGGCAGCAGCAGCAGTAGAAACCTCCCCCTCCCCTTCCTCCCCATTCTCCCTCCCTTCATCCGTGCTTTACCTGGCTGCTGGTTCCTTCGGCACATTCGGGAACACAGGCCCTTGGGGTACAGAAGCCACTCACCTCTTTCTCTGCTCGTTTCTTCCTCAGCTTCAGCCTCAGCCACAGCAGCACTTTTCTTCTCCTCCTCCCCTTCAACCGGTGCTTTGACTGGCGGCTCCTTTGGCACATCCGGGAGGACCGGCACCTCAGGCACAGCAGGCATCTCTTGCTGGACCTCCTCTAGCGCGAGCTGGGTGGAGGGAGAGGAAGAGGGAGAGAATGAAGAGTGGGGAAGGATCAAAGAATAGAGCAACTGCAGCTGAGCTGAGCTGAGCTGATGCACAAGGCAGCAACGGGGCCTTTCAGCCACAGCCAGCATTTCTTGCTGCACCTACTCTGGAGCCAGGTAGATAAAAAAGGGGGGGCGGAAGAAGGGGAATACGAGGAATGGGGAACGATAAGGGAGAATAACACAATGCAAAGCGCAGGCACTTGGTCCCGTAAAGGAAAACTTTTCAACAGATTTGTTCCCGTCAACTCAGTCAGCATAGTCACCCCTCCTGTCAGCTTCTGAGTCGACTCAAAAGAGGTGCTTGGTCACTTAAATAAAGGAAACCTTTCAGCAGAGTTGCTTCCTTTCCAGTCAGTCAGCGCAGTCACCCCTCCATCAGCCTGAGCTCCCTCCCTGTTAGCCTCCCCCCTGCTCCCCTCTCTCCAGCCTCAACTACCATCCCCTCCACCCTAACTTCCACCTCCGCCTCTCCCCTTTCCCCCCCCCACCTCTGCCTCTCCCCTCCCCCCCTCCCACCCACCTCTGCCGCTCCCCCTCACCCTGTTTGAGCATGACCTATCCCCCCCGCCCCCCTCTCATCCCTCTGCCTCTCTTTCAGCCCCCCCGTCCCCCCCTCTCACCCCCCTCACCTCTGTCTCGAGTGCCTCCAGCTCAGCAAGAGCTGCCAGCTCAGCCTCTTCTGAGAGCGCACCTGCCAGCATGGCAGCCACCTCCTGATTGGTCGAAACAGGGAACAGGGGCGGGGAGATGGGGTGGGGGGGATGATTGAGGTCAAACAGGGTGGAGTGGGATGGCAAGTGGTGGAGCAGGGTAGTGTGAGTGAGGACAGAGGGCTGGGGACGGTTGGAGAAAGGAGTAACAACGAGGTGGCCTACCATTTCTACTTGAGGTAGGAGTCTCCTTTTACAGGCCCTTTTTGAGGCGCCTTAAATCTAGGAGGCTCCTTCACAATCTGACAGCCTCTTATGCCAGCCTTTTCCTCTTGTAGTGTCACAGTCACAGTCACAGTCACAGTCACAGTCACAGTCACAGTCACAGTCACAGTCACAGTCACCCCTACCATTCCATTCACGCCATGCCAGCTCCTCCCCCCTCCTTGAAGAGACGGCGGGGGGGGGGGGGAAGGGAGCTACCATTCGTTCCCACCCTTTTGCCTCAGCGTATTTTGTGCAACGTGACACATACCCTCCCGTCCTCAGACCATCCGGAGGCCTCTCCACCTCAGTCCTCCAAACCAGGGTGATCGAAGGGATTGAAGGGATTGAAGGGATTGAAGGGATTGAAGGGATTGAAGGGATTGAAGGGATTGAAGGGATTGAAGGGATTGAAGGGATTGAAGGGATTGAAGGGATTGAAGGGATCAATCAAGGGGATCACATGGGACCACCAGGCTCATCTCCCCCTACAGCACCCCGAATCTCGCCATTCCCTTGTCCCGCTCGATCGCTTTGCCTCACTTCACCTCACCTCACCTCACCTCACCTCACCTCACCTCGCCTCACCTCACCTCATCCTAGGCACCCTCCGTTCAAGCCTTGAAACGCCCTAGCATGCCCTGATATCGCCCTAGCATGCCCTGATATCGCCCTAGCATGCCCTGATATCGCCCTAGCATGCCCTGATATCGCCCTAGCATGCCCTGATATCGCCTGGAACTGAGACCCCTCAAGTCAATCACCACAAACCGACCGAGAACACTCGACTCACTCCTTGGAAGGCCTTGGCTACATGACTTTTGAGGCGCCTCAAAAGTCAACTGAGGCGCCTCAAGACACGACAAACTGACCGAAAACACTCCACTCACATCTTGGACAGCCTTGGCCGCATGGCCCTCAGATCTGATGCCCCCATGACCTTCTCCCCGCCCCCCAAGCCAAGCTTATCTCTTTCTGCCTCACACCTCGTTCCGTCCTAGCCCTCTGCCTCACACCTCGTTCCGTCCTAGCCCTCTGCCTCACCCTGCACGCCACACTCACGTCTTGGAACGCCTTGGCGTCTTCTGATTCGCCCATGAGCTTCTCCACGTCCTCCAGGCTGATCTCCCTCTGCCGCTCCTGAATTGCTATGTGCTCCAAGCCCGACTCAAGACCGGACTCCAGACTCAACCTGCACTCAACGGTCAACCTGCACTCAACCTGCACTCAACCTGCACTCAACCTGCACTCAACCTGCACTCAACCTGCACTCAACCTGCACTCAGCCTGCACTCAGCCTGCACTCAACCTGCACTCAGCCTGCACTCAACCTGCACTCAGCCTGCACTCAACCTGCACTCAACCTGCACTCAACCTGCACTCAACATGCACTCAGCCTGCACTCAGCCTGCACTCAACCTGCACTCAACCTGCACTCAACCTGCACTCAACATGCACTCAACCTGCACTCAACCTGCACTCAACCTGCACTCAACCTGCACTATTCACTCACGTCTTGGAAGGCCTTTGCATCCTCCGACTCCCCCAAGAGCTTCTCCACGTCTTCCAGGCTGATCTCTTTCTGCAGCTCCTGAATCGCCATGTGCCCCGCCTTGAGGCCCACCTTGAGACTCTCAAACCATCTGCCCCGCCCCGAAGAGCCTCAAGACCTGACTCAACCTGCACAGCCCACTCACATCTCGGATGGCCTTGGCATTCTCCGGCTCCCCCGTGAGCTTCTCAACGTCCTCCAAGCTGGTCTCTTTCAGCAGCTCCTGAATCGCCATGTGCCCCACTTTGAGGCCCTCGAACCATCTGCCCCACCCCGAGGTGCCTCAAGACCCGACTCAACCCTGAATGTCCACTCACGTCTTGGAAGGCCTTTGCATCCTCAGACTCCCCCATGAGCTTCTCCACGTCCTCCAGGCTGATCTCTTTCTGCAGCTCCTGAATTGCCATGTGCCCCGCCTTGAGGCTCTCGAATACTTGGGCCTGGCGGCTTGTGATCTCGATGTCCGCCAGCTGAGAAGATTGTGGAGGGGGGGGTCGGAAGAGGGGGACGGGCGGAACATGGGGAGTGAAGTGGAGTTCTGAGGCGCCTCAAAACTAGACATGGGGAGTGAAGTGGAGTTCTGAGGCGCCTCAAAACTAGACATGGGGAGTGAAGTGGAGTTTTGAGGCGCCTCAAAACTAGACATGGGGAGTGGGAGTTTTGAGGCGCCTCAAAACTAGACATGGGGAGTGAAGTGGAGTTTTGAGGCGCCTCAAAACTAGACATGGGGAGTGAAGTGGAGTTTTGAGGCGCCTCAAAACTAGACATGGGGAGTGAAGTGGAGTTTTGAGGCGCCTCAAAACTAGACATGGGGAGTGGGAGTTTTGAGGCGCCTCAAAACTAGACATGGGGAGTGAAGTGGAGTTTTGAGGCGCCTCAAAACTAGACATGGGGAATGAAGTGGATCAGAGACGGGATACGGCTGTATCGCCCTCCTTGCAGCTCCTGAATTGCCATGTGCCCCGCCTTGAGGCTCTCAAACACTTGGGCCTGGCGGCTCGTGATCTCGATGCCCGTCAGCTGAGGGAGAAGGGGGAACGGAAGAGGGGAGTGTGGAAGATACAGACAGGGAGAGAAAAAATGGCTCATCTCCCTTTGCAGCTCCTAGATCGCCACATGCCCCGCCTTGAGGCTCTCGCGTACTGCGCCTGGCGATTGGTAATCTCGATGTTGCGAGCTGAGAGCGAGAGGGGGGAAAAGGGGGGAGGGGGGGTGGTGGAACAGTGGGGAGAGGGAGGCAGAAGGGAAGGAGGGAGCCGGATCACTTGGAAGCTGGCCAAGGGAAGCAGTACTTGTTGAAATTGGCTGGTTGATACCCTCATCTGCTGTTGCACTGGCAGCACCCATGCGTCAGCTTAGCTGTCGTCAGAGCGACTTCCTGAAGCTCCTTGTTCTTCAGCGCCAGAGACGCACGTCCCGTCTTTCCCTCATGCACGCAATTTCAGGTCAGCTCAACGCAAGGCTCACCTGTTGCTCCACTCGCAACACCCAGGCATCTGATTTCCCAAGAGGAGTCTATTTTTGAGGCGCCTCAAAAATAGACTCCTCACGCAATTTCAGGTCAGCTCAAAGCTCACCTGTTGCTCCACTCGCAACACCCATGCGTCGGATTTCCCAAGAGCGTCCTCCTGAAGCTTCTTCTTCTTCAGCGCGAGCAGCGCGCGGTCCTTCTTGCCCTCCTTCACCATCTGCCGGACCACCTCCTTCTCCCGCTCGATGACTGCACCGACCTTCAAACGGGGATAAAAGATATTGCGTCCATCTAGGTTGAAATTGTGTCGCAACGCGAATTCACGGAAACATAACAATGGTTGGTATTTTTCTAAAACATAATTTCTACGACGAAAGTAGGAAGAAGGTCAAGCTTACCTTCTTTTGGTACTCCGCTAGTTTCCGCTTTTGCGTTCGCAGCGACAGTATCGCCTTGTCGACATCCGTAACGGCCTTGCGCTTCGAGAACAACGCTCCCATCGCTAGAAAGCAAGGAAACACGACAGTCGTGATACACCGACCGCCGATTAGCAGAATATGCCGAGTCGCTAATACGACCAGAGCGAGAAAGATCTATGCAGACTAGTAGCGGGGAGACTCGTTGACATACGATATGTCCGAAAGTGAACAATAAGATTCAAAGGGAAGAGTCACCAGGCATCGGAGAAGAAAGATTGATAACAATGGAGGATCCACTGGCGGGAAGCTAAAGTCTAACAGCATAAGCTATCCGCGCAGGTGAGGAATCGCTCATTAGCATCCTCTCTGTCGCTTGCCTCGTTAGTGGATCGAGCCTCGGTATTGCCGTGCTGTTGCCTGGAGGCCTCATAAATCTCTTCCCCCTCGTTCTCGAGTCGCGTTCAGAAGAGGTTCATTTCTCGGTTCAGGAATCTGAGAAATCATCGCATCTTTTCGTGCGCTCATATATGTCTCTACACTTGATTATTCGTTCAACTAGCACATATTAGAGTCGCATATTTGGTTCCAACTACAGATCGTATTATGTAAACGCAAGGTCCAAGAATGCTGGAAATTGCGCGTAACGAATAATGCTCTGCAACCCAGGCAAATTCGATTGTATTGTCTCCAAGAATGCAGGAGCCTTGGCGTATGCACACTGTAGAGGGGCGGCGAGCGTTTCTTTTGCGTCGACCAATGCCACGTAAGCACGCCGCCCAGTTCGCACAATCTGAATGCTACGGGGCCGGTGTTCTGACTCTGAATTTCACGCGTTGCAACAAGAACAACCCTACTGAAACTGTAGTATCGACAATCTGTTCGGAATATAAACTATTTTGGCAAACATCTTGACGAATCACGACTACACAAATCACAAACACCAACCTCAAACGACCGGAAGCATACAAACGCGGACAAATGATCAAACCACAGAAACAATCAAATAGAGAGGGGTGAGCGCTATGGCATATGAGAACCCCCGAACGTCATCCATTTACTCGCGTCGGGATAGCCAGTCATCACCGTCGTGGCCCCGAGCACATGCGCGCGGTACTGCTCGTGAACATCATCCCTTGTTGCGCCAATGTCGAGACACAAAGAAGCGCGCTCCAAATGGTCGCAAACAAGGGGGTCGCGGATGACGAATAGAATCCTCAGGTCCTACGGGGCAAGCTGAAGGCTCCTAGCGTAGCCGATGAGCATTTCCGTCGCGAGGCGAGCCATGCCCCGATGGTCGCGAACGGTAGCATCGAGGTGGGGTGGAGGAGGCATGGAGGACCACCAGGCATCTCAGATCGGTGACGCCTGCGGCTCCGTCTCGAGCGAGTCATTCTCGCCGACGTCGCCTTGTCGTCGTCGGCGTACACGAATGTGACGGCACTCTCAATATTGCTAGGCGGGCCGAACGGCAGCGCATCAAGGGCGGTCTGCACCTTACGGATGTCATCGTCCAGGAGGTGGACGTCATCGCTCGGCGTCGCGGTGAGGAGCGGCAGCAGCAGCTTCCAGCTAGGCGACAACATCGCGGTGCGCCAGAAGCACTTCTGGATCGTACTCGTCTCGATCCCAATAGTCGAGTCCGAGATGTATTTGATCACTCGAGTCATCTCGAGCTTGAACCCAAGCAGTTGCGACACCGTCATGCCCTTCGCCCACTCATCCAGCACAGCGCGCAGTAGGTGAGTCTTGTACTTTGCCTTCAACGCCGCCATAATACCCTGGTCCAGAGGCTGGGTGAAAGGGGTGGTGTTGGGCGACAGATAGGCGAAACTAATGTGCGACAGGGCGCAGGTCCGGAAGCCGCATATCTCGACGATGGTGGCGAGATGAGTCTTTAGGGTGTGGCTTGAAGCATTGTCGACCATCACGACGATGCTTCGCCCCTCCGCCATACAGGCGGCATTCACGTTCTTGAAGTATGCTTTGAACACCTGCGGGACAGGATGGGGGCAGAGGCAGTGTACTATGGGACGGAACGACACTGTCGATATCAAGATACATGGTAACAATGAACATATTCCCTCACCTCGGCTGCATCCATTCTTTGGTGTTCGTGCGCTAGGCGCAGTATTGCACGGGGTTGAATTCCTCGCGAGCGAAGCTGCGAGGGCGCTCGTAACGGTGAATGATTAGGGGCTTGAAGACTTTGGAGCCGTCCGCGCTCATCAGCAGGGCGACCGTGAGTCGCTCCTTTGCAGTCTTCTTGCCCAGTGTCGCTTACTCGCTGAAGATGTAGTCTAGGAGCATCGCCCAGTACACGTAGGTTTCGTCGAAATTGAACTGCTGCTCCAGCCGCAGATTGAGATGCTCGCAGAAACGGGGGAAGTACAGTTTGGCAAATAACGCCGCCCGCGCTTTAGCGGATTTAGCCTCCCCCGCCATTTTTCGCCACTTGAAGCCCATGCGCTTAAGAGCCTTTTGCAACCATCTAGCGCTCGCCTTGAAGTCCTTGTGGACGTTGCAGTTAGGCGCGAGTACAAGCGCACGCTGTTGAATAAGGGAGAGCGTTAAGGGTAATCCAGCGCTGTTTACGCCACACAGCCAGATCCGCAGCCGTTCTTCGAGTTGTGGTCCGAAAGCATTTCTGAGCCTTTTGTGCTTCGTGCCCTCTAGGCCAGGAGCTTTCCAGCGCGCTGCATGTCTGATAATTTGGGAGACAGTGCTCGGGTCCGGCCATAGGCCATATCTGGTATGGCACCACTGTAGAAGGTTTGATAGGTAAAGCATGTCATGCTTGGCAGCGTAATCGCAGATGGCAATCTTCTGGGCTAGTGTGAACGCGACCCTTCGACCTGGGCCATCCGAACTCTAGGATATGTGCTGCTGAGGGTGAAACCTTGTCAGCGTAAATACTCCCGTCCCCCCAATACAATTATTAGGGTTGAGCATAAACCCGATCCGACCCAACTTTGCCCTACCCGATGTCGGGTTCGGGTCGGGTCGAGTCGGGTCAAATCGGGTCGGAGTTCAGGAAATGTCAATCCGACCAGGGTTTAATAGGTTGGGTACTACCTGACCCGATTTCGGGTCGGGTTGGGTCGGGTCGGCATAGGGGCAGGGACGGGTAATAAGCCGACCCGACGGGTTGGGTTTAGTCGGCCGGGTCGGGTCGGGTCGGGTACCTGAGGATCGGGTCGACCCTCTGCGAATGTCGACCCGACCCGTAAAAAAGTCGGGTTCGAGTCGGGTAACCTGACCCGACCCGACCCGTTGCTCAAGCCTAAATACAATACATCTGTTGGGGTGACGATTCTGCTGACGGCGTGGCGAGCGGCATGCAGTGATTGGGCGGGGTGGACGGATCCTATTGAGCATCCGACCGGAATCCATCATCGCACGTGGAGCTTGAGGATTCGGCGGTCAACTGCACCTATGTCTGGTCCTGATTAGGTGGATCGAAAGGTGCACATTTGTTGGCGCTTGAAACCTTGTGCGACCATAGGGCGTTGTCGCCCTGTGAGCAGCCGTCATTAGTTGGAGGAATGCAAATTACTGGTTGCATACAGAAATACGCAGGCATCGCTGTATGGTTGCTGATTGGCTGGTTACATGTTTTTCTTGAGTACGTCGGGTTTGCGCCTTACGAATATTTTGCGTCAGGGAAATACTTGCGAAAGTCGTGGTTTCTCTAGTAAAATATGACCTGTACCCCAATTTGGGGCCAGGTTTAGGCCAGGTTTGTAATGTCGCACAGAGAGCGAGTCCCGTCGAACGTGGGTTTCGAAGGCAAGCGACTGTACAGCGTTACAGTCACCAAGCAGATTAAACAATCGCTGTCGTCCCAAACGAAACTGAAAATTCAAACGAAACCCTTCGGTGTACCAATGAGTTCGGTTCGGATCGAGTGTAAGAAGTGGGGCGTCGAACCTAGCTGCGAACGCAGCGAAATGCAAACCAGACCCGATGGGCTCTCAGGTCGAGATTGTAACCGTAGGGCTGGTGCTTAGCCTCGTCCAAAGTGATTCACGCGAAAAGGCTTGTGTAAGAACAGCCACAACAGAAACAGGAGCACATTCAGGCACACTTGTGGCTGCATGTGGCAGCCATTGTTGTTGGCAAAACGCCTTCAGAAGCTCGTATATAGTCCATCCGCTCTGCTAAGAAGCTCTTCTTTTGTCTGCTTGATTTAGTATTCTCGTACCCATTCCCTTGTTTATCGCCTCGCGAAAGCCGTCATGCTGGGGTGGTTAGGTCTAGGGCAAGTCCAGCCGGAGTTTCACGCGGACGACTTCTCGCCAGAGGTTGACGTATCAGGTAAGCGGGTTCGCCGTTTGCCTGCGACGATCGGCCACAATGCGACTATCGCTGTCAACGACGGTGTCTTTAGATGCCATGGTAGTACCAATGCGACCATACTACCATAGTTACCAATGCGACGATGGTTACAAATGCGACGATCGCTGTCAATGCGATAGCATTCAGCCGTCGAAACGCAAGTAATAGATATTCCCTTATGCAGACAAGTCAGAGGCGGCGAGCCTATCAGGTGCTCCTGCGTATCACTTTCATAAACATTGGCGTTCGCCGCTGAGACAACAGATTCCGCCATATCGGCTTAGATAATCGGCCATATCCGCCTGGATACTGTGCAACCAATATCCAGTTTGTACTTTAATATTTGCTGGCATATGCTGCAGCATTTGTTTTCTCCAAAGCTGTGCTCTGTCTGCATGCGACATATGCTGCGGTGTTGCATTGTAACATATTCTCTGCTACCATGTGATGTGACACGTAACAGGGTTACCAGATGGAGATGAGGCCTCGGCGGAGCTGCTCAGCTGTGACGTCTGGAAGGAACCCCTGCCTCTCGGTACTCACACTCCCACACACACGCACGCACGCACGCACGCACGCTCGCACTTACACGCAATCACACACACTCTCACACACTCACACTCACACACACACAAGGACACACACTTAAACCCTTGCGACCTCCATCTATGGGATCATTCCTTGACACACGCCCTTATCTCGAATTATCTTCTCTTGCTTTCTTGTTGCTATACGCACTGTGCTGTGCTGTGCTTCCGCCATTACAGGTTCCGAGCGGCTACGGGCGCTGCTGCGGATCAACAACTTCAGGGACGAGCTGCGGGCTCTGAGGCACCACTTCCTGCACAGCAGGGAGCTTAGGTGCGCTTGTTTTTTTAAGCACATGATGAAGCAAAGCATTCCCCGGAAGCATTTCCCAGACAGCAGATGACTCAGGTTCGCGTTTTATCTAGGGTTTCGGTGGTCTTAAATACCCCTTTACCCCCGTCCTCTCCTCTCTCTGCTGCTCCAAAACCTGCCGTGCAGGGTGGTGGCGGCAACATGGAACGTGGCGGGCATATCGGACCCGCCTTCCCACCTGGACCTCACAGCCTGGCTCTCCCTGCAGCAGCCTGCCGATATCATCGCCATAGGGTGGGTGGTGCTCGCTATGGGGTGGGTGGTGCTCGCTATGGGGTGGGTGATTGACACCCTTTCATTCCCGCCGTCAGCGTCGCATTCGTCGTCTGCGACCTCTGCTTCCTTGACCTGTCTGCACTGTGTCCGCTATCCGTGCATGCATCAACTTGCAGGAGATAGTCCCCTTGAGCACGGGCAGCGTGCTGGGGATGGACATGGAGGACGCAATGGGGCGACGGGATGGGAGGCCCTTGTTCGCCTCCAGCTCATTCCCATCAAATCCTTCTCCTTTTCTGCTGTGCCGTGTGTCCTCTATACTTCAAACAGCTCCCAGGAAATAGTCCCTCTCAGCAAGGGCAGCGTGCTGGAATGGACAAAGAGGAGGAGGCGGGGTGATGGGAATGGGAGGCACTCATTTGCCGATGGCTCAACTCATTTCCCTCACGTCCTTGACCTGTCTGCCCCGTGCCCTTTTACACCAACCAACCAACTTCCAGGATATAGCCCCTCCCAGCAGGGCATCGTGCTGGGAACGGACAAAGGGGAAGGAAAGCCCTCAGTATTTCTCCCTCGCTGCCCATGCGACCTTTCCCTCGCAGCTTCCAGGAGATTGTCCCCTTGAGCACGGGCAGCGCGCTGGGGATGGACACAGAGGAGGCAGTGGGGCAGTGGGAGGCCGTCGTTCGCCGCCAGCTCATTTCAACCCCCTCACCTCACGTCCTTGACCTGTTTGCATTGTGTCTTTGATGCGTGCATCAGGATTCAGGAGATAGTGCCTCTCAGCACTGGCAGCATGCTGGGGATGGACATAGAAGGAGCCGTGGGGCGGTGGGAGGCCCTCGCTCGCCGCGCCGACAGCTCACCCATTTCCAGCCTTGGCCTGTTGGCACTGCGTCCTTCCCCCTCGCAGCTTCCAGGAGATAGTCCCCTTGAGCACGGGCAGCGTGCTGGGGATGGACACGGAGGAGGCAGTGGGGCAATGGGAGGCCCTAATTCGCAGACAACTCAACGCCGCCGCTGCCAAGGCTGCTAGAAAAGCCACTGCCAAGGCCAATGCTGCTTCCAGAGGGTCGAGCAAGGCGGCTGGCGATGCTTCTGGGGATGGTGCTGGGGGCACCCCTGGTGGGGATTCCCCTGGTGGGGTAGCAGGCAGAGCGCGCAGTGGTGGTGTTTCTGGCCCTGAAACAGCAGAGGAGAAGGATCAAGGGGCAGAGCAGGCAAGGACGGATGACGGCAGCGGCAGAGCGGGTGACGACGCAAGCAGCGTCAGCAGTAGCGGCGTGCAGGGCAGCGTGAGCAGCAGCAGCATGCCGGGTAAGGCCACGCCCTCGCTCAGCAGCAGCAGCAGCCTGACCTTCCACAACAGCAGCTTCCGCTCCCTTGACAGCTCTGCAGGATCCGTTGGCAGCTCCACAAGTCCCATTGACGCTAGCATTGCCTCCACTGCCACCGTCCCTGCCATGCCCCAGTGGGAGCCAGGCGCACTCAAACAAGACGCAGCACCAGCAGATAAGACCTGCCCGGATATGATCTCCCCGGATAAGATATCGCCTGAGGATCTGATCAGCGTGCCGCTCACCCCTGCTGGCCCGACCCTCCCAGAGGAAAGGGAAGACTCGAGCAGAGATGGGGGGGATGGGGGGGATGGGGGAAATGGGGGAGCGGATGGGGAGGAGGAGAGGGGGGACGCACTTGAAGGGGAGGGGGGGGAGGCATGGAAGGCTGGGAAAAGGGAAGGTCGGGGAGGGGTTGAGGGGACGGGAGGGGAATGGGCGGGAGGGGAAGAGGAGTGGGAGGGAGAGGAGGGGGAGGGGGGGGAGGTGGAGGAGGCGTATGTGAAGGTGGCTGGGCGGCAGATGGTGGGCGTGTATCTCATGGTGTGGGCGCGCAAGGGGCTGAGGAGGCACATCCATGGGGTTAAGGCGAGCACAGTGGGCTGTGGGCTCATGGGCATACTGGGGAACAAGGTGAGAGGTGTGATGCGGTGCAATGCGGTTGAAGGGGTGGCAGATTGTGAGTGGTAGCAGATGGTGGGGGTGTATTTGATGGGTTGGGCGCGCAGGGGGCTGAGGAGGCACCTCCATGGCATGAAGGCCAGTACTGTGGGCTGCGGGCTCATGGGGATACCGGGGAACAAGGTGAGAGGTTTGATGCGGTGCAATACGATTGCAGGCAATACAGTAGGCTTGCATAAGGCCAGCACTGGGGCGTGTGGGCTCATGGGCGTATTGGGAAACAAGATGAGTGGGGTACTGGGGACTGTATGGATACTGGGGACTGTATGGATACTGGGGACTGTATGGGTACTGGGGACTGTATGGATACTGGGGACTGTATGGATACTGGGGACTGTATGGATACTGGGGACTGTATGGGTACTGGGGACTGTATGGATACTGGGGAACGAAGTGAGTGGTTGGATGTGGTGTGATAGTGTGGCATCGTGGGAGTAGGAGGAAGCCGGTGGGCGCGTTGTTGTGGATGATACGTACCTTCACTTCTAGGCTCTCATGTCCTATGGGGCATGCTCCATGCCATCTCGTTCATGCCACCTCCTCGTGCTGCCTCTGCTCTGCCACTCCATCCAGGGTTCAGTAGCAGTCCGCATGGCGATGCGGGCGGCGTCCTTCGCCGCACACATACCATGGCCTTGTCTTGTACACCCCCTCTCTTTGTCTTGTACACCCCCTCTCTTTGTCTTGTACACCCCCTCTCTTTGTCTTGCACGCCCCCTCTCTTTGTCTTGCACACCCCCTCTCTTGGTCTCCTACAGGGCAGCGTGGCAGTGAGCATGACAGTGCACGAGACGTCCTTCGTCTTCATCTGCGCGCATCTCAACGCGGGGGAGGAGCGCGCTGATGCTGCTCGCCGTACCTTTGACTTTGTTGAGATTCTCCGCCGCACCGGGTTCCCCCGGGAGCTGCCTGATCCCTGGACTGCCAGACTGGCAGAGAGCATCACCGAGCATGAGTGAGTGTCGGCTGCAGTCACCAAAAAGCACACGCAAGTGTCGAGCATCCCATACCACCTTTGTCTTTGTGGAGATCTTTTGCTGCTCGGCGTTCCCCAGAGAGCTGCCTGACCCGTGGACTGCCAGGCTGGCAGAGCGCATCACGGAGCATGAGTGAGTGTATCCATGAGAAAGGACAAGTGAGCCCTGAGCATGTCAGAGAACCTTTGACTTTGTGGCCATCCTCCGCCGCACCACATTCCCCCGGGAGCTGCCTGACCCCTGACCTGGCATGCTGGCAGAAGCGATCAGAGAGCACAGGTGAGCGCATGGCAGCGTGCGAGTGAGCGCATGACAGCGCGCGAGTGAGCGCATGACAGCGCGAGAGTGAGCGCATGGCAGCGCGCGAGTGAGCGCATGACAGCGCGCGAGTGAGCGCATGACAGCGCGCGAGTGAGCGCATGGCAGCGCGCGAGTGAGCGCATGACAGCGCGCGAGTGAGCGCATGACAGCGCGCGAGTGAGCGCATGACAGCGCGCGAGTGAGCGCATGACAGCGCGCGAGTGAGCGCATGGCAGCGCGCGAGTGAGCGCATGACAGCGAGCGAGTGAGCGCATGACAGCGCGCGAGTGAGCGCATGACAGCGCGCGAGTGAGCGCATGACAGCGCGCGAGTGAGCGCATGGCAGCGCGCGAGTGAGCGCATGACAGCGCGCGAGTGAGCGCATGACAGCGTGCGAGTGAGCGCATGACAGCGCGCGAGTGAGCGCATGACAGCGCGCGAGTGATCGCATCTGCCCTTCTGCTCCCTGACTATCCCCTCTCCTCTTATTTCACTAGGTGTATTCTCTCACTCCCCGTATCTCCCTTCCCTTCCCCCCCGCCCCCACCAACGTGGACCTCAGCTGACTACTGCCTGGAGCTACTATCCCAACCCAACCTCACCCCACCACCACATCTCCTTGAATCATTACACCCTCCTCAACGCCCCCTTCCTCCCAGCCGTGTGTTCTTCTTTGGCGACCTAGACTCTCGCTTCGAGCTGCCTCAGCGCCTCAGCTGCCAACCCAATCCGGAAACCAGATCCCACACCGCGCCCCTTTCCCCCGTCCCATCACTCTAGCCGTGTGCTTTTCATCGGAACCTCAACTACTGCCTGGAGCTGCTACTGCCTGGAGCTGCTACTGCCTGGAGCTGCTACTGCCTGGAGCTGCTACTGCCTGGAGCTGCTACTGCCTGGAGCTGCTACTGCCTGGAGCTGCTACTGCCTGGAGCTGCTACTGCCTGGAGGTGCTACTGCCTGGAGGTGCTACTGCCTGGAGCTGCTACTGCCTGGAGCTGCTACTGCCTGGAGGTGCTACTGCCTGGAGCTGCTACTGCCTGGAGCTGCTATCCCATCTTCACTCTGCCTCAACCTCCCAAATCACCCCCCCTCCCTTCCTCCCATCCCATCCCAGCCGCGTGTTCTTCTTCGGCGACCTCAACTACCGCCTGGAGCTGCCGGATTCGGAGGCCCGCGCGCTGCTGGCGAAGCAGGACTGGGAGGCGCTGCTCAAGCACGACCAGGTGGGGCGCTGAGGTGTTGGGATTGTGGTATGGTACTGTAGTGAGACTGCTCAAACACGACCAAATGATCTGGGGCTGTGACTTCAGAGCTGTCGGGTCTGGAGGCCCGCGCGCTGCTGGCGAAGCAGGACTGGGAGGCGCTGCTCAAGCACGACCAGGAGGGGCGGTATGGGTGGGGTGGTGGTGTAGTGAGAGCGTATCATGTGCTGCTGTGAGTGACTTGAGAGCTGTCGGATCTGGATGCCCGCGCGCTGCTGGCTAAGCAAGACTGGGTGGCACTGCTCAAGCACGGCCAGGTGCGTGGCGTGTTTTTTGTTTTGTTTTGTTCTGTTTTTTTTTTTTTTTTTTTTTTTTTTTTTTTGAGACGCCTCAAAAAAAGGAAGACTGGGTGGCGCTGCTCAAGCACGGCCACGTGGGTGGCGTGGTGCTGGGCTGTGCTCTGCTATGCTGTCGCATGAATGCTATGCTGCTGCGGTGTGGGCGGTATTTTGCCAGTCCACCTGCACCTCCTAGGAACTGGCCCTTTTCTTCCCCTCCTTAACGTGCAACTACTGTTTGGAGGCGCCTTAAAACTGCACCATCTCCCTGCTCCCACCTCCTGCACTTGCGCTGGAAACTATCGGAAGGCTTCTTCGCCCCCCGTACAAGTATTGTATACATGAGCTCCTTCCCTCTCCTCTTCTGCAACTGCATGTGGAGCTCCCAGATCAGATATGTTGCCGCTCTTCCCTTCTCTCACCTTCCTGCAGCTGCGCTGGGAGCTCTTAGAAGGCGGGGCCCTACCCGGATGGCAAGAAGGCCCCATCTTCTTCGCCCCGACCTACAAGTACGCGGTGGGCAGCAACCGGTACGTGGGTGAGGACGAGGAGGACGGGGAGAAGCGCCGCACGCCTGCGTGGTGCGACCGCGTGCTCTGGTACGACTCGGGGGACGCCACCGGCAGCACGACTTATGTGAATGAGAGCAGCATCAGCAGCAGCAGCAGCGCGGCCTACTCCAGCGACGCCCTGCAGCTGGTGTCATACTCGCGGGCGGAGCTGCAGCTGTCGGACCATCGGCCCGTGGCGGCGGTGTTTGCGGTGCAGGTGGAGGTGGTGGAGAGTGAGAGCTTCGACGCCGCTGTGGCGGTGGCGTGCCGACAGCTGGACGAGCGGCAGCAGCTGGCGATTCCCCACTGCTCGCTCAGCGCCCATGCAGTTGATTTCGGAGAGGTGAGAAAAGCATGGTGTGGTGTGGACGATGGGTGGTGAAGGTAGGCAGTGTGACAGAGCGGAGTGGAGCTTGTTCTGTCGGACCATCGGCCCATGGCGGCGGTGTTTGCCGTGCACATGGACATGGTGGAGAAGGAGCGGTTCGACGCTGCCGTGGCGGTGGCGTGCCGGCAGCTGGACGAGCGGCAGCAGCTGGCGACCCTGCATTGTTCCCACTGTGACCATGCTGTGGACTTTGGAGAGGTGAGAGCAAGCAAGCACGATGCGCAGCGTGGCGCAGCGCTTGTAGGGGAAGTGGAGGTGGTGAAGATGGAGACGTTCGGTGCTGCCAAAGCGGTGGCTTGTCGGCAGCTGGTGAACGGCAGCAGCAGCTGGTTCCCATCCCTCATTGCCCGCCCAGCTGGCCATCCCTCATTGCCCGCTCAGCGCCCATGCGGTCGACTTTGGAGAGGCGAGAGCACAGAAGGGAGCACTTGGTGCACATTAGGGAGCACTCGCCAGCTACCCCTGACCGCATCCTTCGCTGAACCCCTCTCTCCCCTTTTTGCCGCAACGCCCCCCCTCTCCCTCTCTACCACCCGGTGCTCTACGCCTCTGCCATCTGTTGCTCAATACAGCACCACAACCTGCCCACGCTCCCCACACGCTTCCCTGTCTCCCAACACCCGTTCGCCTTCCAGAACCCTCCCCCCCACCCCCTGCACCCTCCCTCCCCTCCCCCCACTCTCCCCCCCTCTCCACCCTCCTCTGTCTCAACGCAGGTCCCCTACGCCTCTGTCATCCGGCGCACCATCGAGCTGCACAACCTGGGCACGGTCCCAGCGCAATTCTCTGTGGCCCCTGCGGGCAGCAGCGACACCTCAGCCCCGGGGCCGGCAGGGGGGTGTGGGGCGTGGGTGGTGGCGGAGCCAGCAGCGGGGGCAGTAGCGCCGGGGCACACGGTGACAGTGAGCCTGCACACGTGGGTGGCCGTGCCGGGCACGCGGGTTGACCAGCTGGTGGAGCGCGGGGGCCTGCTAGATTTGATCCTCGTGGTGGCGATTAAGGGCGGCGGGGATCTCTTTGTGGCGTGCTCCGGCAACTACGTGCCGTCCTGCTGGGGCTTAAGGTGAGTGCAATGGGTGGTGGGCCGGGGCCCCCTGTGCTATGAGGCATGTCCCGGGCACGCGGGGTGAGCAGCTGGTGGAGAGAGGGGGGCTGCTGGATCTTATTCTCCTCATTCTGGTGGCCATCAAGTTGTAGGTGATTTCCGAGAATTGTCAATGGCCGTCAAGGGTGGCAGGGACCTCTTTGTGGCATGCTCAGGCAACTAATTGCCCTCCTGCTGTGGCCGGCGGTGCGTGTTTTGTCTGCCGTTCACCTCCTCTCCTGCAAACCCCCCTGCTAGCCAGGGCATCCTGGCGGCTGGGAAAGGTAGAGTTGCCACCGCACATCATCCTTCCTTCAGCAGGGATCCGGTGTCAAGTCTACCTTTCCGGACCTACAGGTGTTTACAAGTTGCTTCTGAGCTGGACATCCTTCCCCATCAGTGCCACCATTGCCATGCTCAGCCCTCCTAGCTCCAATTCCTGGCCCTCCTCTAATTCTCCCCTGTCCCCCTCACTTACCCTCCCTTCATGCTCAGCCTCATCCCGCTCTCATCCCGCTCTCATCCCGCTCTCATCCCGCTCTCATCCCGCTCTCATCCCGCTCTCATCCCGCTCTCATCCCGCTCTCATCCCGCTCTCATCTCAGCTCCAAGGTCCCCAAACACTTTCTCTCTATTGACACCGTCGCTGTCATTCCATTCTCCCCTCCTTCCGTGCACCATTCGTGGCACTCCTCTCCTCTCCTTCCCCTCCGTCTGACCCACTCCCAGCCCTCCCAGCCTGGAAGCCCTGGCAGGTCTCAACAACCCCATCCGCTCTCTTACCATCGCCCCCATTCCTCTCATTCTTCTCCCCTTCTCACTGCTCCTCTCATTTCTCATCCCTCTCCCTCTCCTCCACCCTCTCCCTATTCATCCCTCTCCCAGCCTCAAAGCCCTCACAGGTCTCTCAAGGACCCTATCCGCACTCGCTCCATAAACGCCGCTCATCCACCATTCCTGTCATTCATCTCAGCCCCTTCGCTTCTCGATTTGTATGCCCATCACCAACCATCCCAGCCTGGAAGCTGTCGCAGGTCTCAAGGACCGCATCCGATCCTTCTCTATCAACGCAATTGCCAAGCGCCAGCGGTCCGCTCTTCGATACAGCTGTGCTACAACAGCTCCCGCTCAATGTTTCGCGTCTTTTCCCGCCCAATGCCAATCCTCCCAGCGTGGAAGCCCTGGCAGGCCTCAAGGACCCCATCCGATCCCTCTCCATCGACGCCATCGCCAAGCGCCAGCGCTCCTCCCTCCGCTACAGGCGCGCTGGAACTCCCTCTGCTGCTTCTCCTCACAGCTCCATCCCAGAAGCATCTGAGGGGGGCACTGCTGATGACGATGCCATTTCTGCTGCTGTGAACGGGGAGGATGGGCTGACAACGCTGGGAGCAGGCAAGGGGCTGGGTAGGCCAAGTGAAGGAGCACCAGCAGCAGGAAATGCGTCCAACGCATCCCATGCTTCCAATGCCTCTGATGCATCTGATGGTGCGTTTGAGGTGCCCAAGGAGGTGGGGCGCATGCTCTCGTTCCTCCTGGACTCCGGCCACGACATCTCCTCCGCCTTCGACCCCATCGCCCTCAGCATCCCCCTCTCCGTCGACGAGGACGACCTCCGCGCCGCCCGCTACCCCTCCTCGCACTCCACCCCTCACCCTCACTCTCACGCGCGCAGCGCCAGTCTCTCCTCAGACGTGCTCTCTGCCGCTGTCAGCTCTCTCACCTCCACCCCTGAAAGCAGCTTCTCCAGCGACCCTGCAAGCAGCACCAGCGGCAGCAGCAGTTTCGGCAGCAGCGGCAGGAGCAGCAATGCTTCTCCAGCCGGTGTCCTACCACAGCTGTCTCGCTCGCTCAGTCGAGGCGGGGTGGCGGGGCTCTCCACTGCTGCAGCTCTGGCTGTTGCAGCAGCCGCAGGGGCGGTGGGCGCGGCTGCAGGGGCGGTTGGAGCGGCAGCAGCGGACCTTGCAGCAGGAGGAGCAACAACAACCGCAGCAGCAGTAGGAGGAGGTTCAGGAGGAGCAGGAAGCACAGAAGAAGGTCCGGGGTCGCCTCAATTCCTCGCGGCCAAGGCAGCAGCGCTGGGTGCCGTGGCACAGGAGCTGCAGATTGCTCCAATCCGCCTCGCCCTAGACACGGGCACACCCTTCCCTCCCGAAACCGCCCCCCTCACCATGGCGCGTGCCCTCGTCTCCTTCCTCCTGGCCCTTCCAGAGCCCATCATTCCAACAAGCCTTGGGGAGGAGGTGGCGTGCAGGGAAGGGTGGGTCCGGGGGGCTGCTGCCACGCTGCTGGCTGAGAGGCTGGGGGCAGTGCAGCTGGCGCTGGTGGACTCGCTGCTGGCGCTCATTCAGGCGCTGATGCGGAATCGGATTGCGAATCGACTCGCTATACATGAGCTGGGTAAGGTCTACATCGCACTATGCTGCTGATGCTTTATGCTGCTTTGTTTTTTTCTTGTGGTGATTCATTTCCATCATGCTCTGTTCTTCCTGATCTGCCTCTATCCTTGTGTTACCGTAATCGCAGCTGCCATCCTGGCGCATTGCCTCTTCGGCCCTGTCCCTGCTTTCACAAATGACTCCATGGGGATTGCGACCGCAACGGATGCTGGGAGGATTATAAAGCGCCGGAGAAGATTTATGCGGTTACTGATTGAGGATACCCGTCTTCGCTCCAAGTGATGGTATTCAGTGGTTCTACAAACCGCACAAACGTTCTGGCTATGTGATCTAACATGATATGTTTGATGCTAAATGTGAATTCTATGAAACTATTTGAGATATGTGCTGTTGCCAATGTTTCCCACTTCCAAAAAACATATGGAAGATGCCTATTTTGGCCTGGACGGTTCAGTACGGTTTGTATAGAGAGAAGCGTGGTGAAAAGCGCAATCCTGGCCTCGAATGTGGTCTGCCGCGCACTTGTACCAGCGGAATGTGTACTGGATTAATCTCGTGTCAGTTCGAAAGTTGATACCATAGGCGCGTCATGCCTGGTATGACACGCGAACTGACACGAAGAGCGGCTGATATCAGCATAGCCACCCCTGTTTCTAACTTCGCTGCACAAGTTTCACAAGTTCAATTTTAGTAGACTGATGTCGGGAGTCGGGACGCTTGTGAATAAACCAGAAGGGTTTCGGAAGAGTTAGCTGCTAATTATTCTGAACTAGGTTCCGCGTCTAACAAATAAACTTTCGACATAGCTAACAGCCGCTATTGATCCAAGGAATCCCCGACGCTATTAAATCCTCAGGGCCGATTCCGAGGGTTTAATAGAGAGCCGCTTTGACGCAGATAAACGTTCAGGGCCGTTTTCAAGGAGTTTCCAGGGAGTTTCCGAGGGATGGAATTCGTGTCGCCGGAGCAGCTGCGGCTGGACGGGCGACGGCCGAAAGAGGTAGCCCTTAGATCCCTCTGAACGAGGTATTTTCGCTGAACTCGCTGAATTCGCTGAGTTCGCTCGATCCGTGCACTGATGAGTCGCGTTTATTTCCCCCAGCGTGTCTTCTCTTCACCAAAATGCAACTCCAAGCGCCAGCCCATCTGTTGGCATGCTTCATCTATCGCTGTCTCCCCCGTGTGTAATGACTCGACTCAAAAATCGACTCATTACACACGCTGTTTCCCTCCCCTTCCCTCCCCTTCCCTCCCCTTCCCTCCCCTTCCCTCCCCTCCTCTTCCCTCCCCTTCCCTCCCCCTCCCTCCCCTTCCCTCCCCTTCCCTCCCCCTCCCTCCCCTTCCCTCCCCTTCCCTCCCCTTCCCTCCCCTCCCCTTCCCTCCCTTTCCATCCCCTTCCCTCCCCTTCCCTCCTCTCCTCTTCCCTCCCCTTCCCTCCCCCTCCCTCCCCTTCCCTCCCCTTCCCTCCCCTTCCCTCCCCTCCTCTTCCCTCCCCTTCCCTCCCCCTCCCTCCCCTTCCCTCCCCTTCCCTCCCCTTCCCTCCCCTTCCCTCCACTCTCCTCTCCGTCCCTCTCCCCACTCGCCTCCCCTGCTCCAGCTGCGTCGCTAAAGTGCGAGCTAGGTGTGCCCATGCCTGGCCTCTCCACGTGACTCAACCCCTTCACTCCATTCCTCTGTACGCGCGCCGTTTCACTTCCCTTTCCTCCTGCACGAGTCGAGTGCGAGCAAGGCGTGCGGGCCACGCCGTTCCCTCTTGCATGGCTCAGCGCCTTTCGCCACTCCTCACTCCTCTGCACGCCCCTCTTCCCCTCCCCCACCCAGGTGGGGTTTTGAGACGCCTCAAAACTCCCGTCCACTGAACTCCCTTCCACTCCCCTTTCCTCTTTTCTCCTCTCCTCTCCTCTCCTCCCCCCTCCCCTCACCTCTCCTCTCCTCTCGTCTTCTCCGCTCTCCTCCCCTCACTCCTCCCCTCCCCCCTCCTCCCCGCCCCACACCTCGTGTCCGTTTCCAGCTGCGCCAGCTCAAGTGCGGTGTACGCGTGCTCTGAGGCGCACTGGGCTCCCATCCGCTGACATTTCTCTCACTCCCCTCTCCCCTCTCCCCGCCCCCCGCCCCCCCCTCCCCCCACCTTGTGTCCTCTGTCAGCTGCGCCAACTCAAGTGCGAGCTGGGTGTGCTGCGATCTGCTGATGGGTGCGATAAAATGCAGTAATTAGGTTGGCCCAATCATGTTTATCTTGCACTTTCTGCTTTTTGGCGTTTTACCGTCCAATTCCCCAGCTCTATGTTTGCCTAGTATTTTCTGCTCTCCCGTTTTTCCACATCTCCATCTTTTACGCTTGTCAGCTCTCCCTCGCATGACCCTTCTGTAACGATCGATTTGTCTGCCCCCCCCTGCTTATCTTCCTCCCTCTCTCATCTCCTCCTCTCCTCCCGAGTCGCCCCCCTACCCTTTACTCTCTCCCGCTTCCGCCACTTGCTTCCCATCCACCCCCTTCATCCCATCAGGTCCGCGTCGTTTGAGATGGGCAACACCAAGGTGCTGGCAGTGGTGTACGGGCCACACGAGGTGAGATGGCAGACAGAAAGACATGCCACACAAGGAATGCAGCGCGCAAGGAACGATGGACGGGCCTCCTCTAGATGAGCCTCAGGATGGGAGAATTTCCGCCTGCATGCGATAAAGCGGAGAAGCATGGCCACGTATAGTCTGTGGCCCCAGTCTATGGTCTGGGATGCTTGGCTGCTAGTGGTGGGGTTGGAAAAGGCTGCAGTCAATGAGGGTGGTGAGAATTGTCGCTCTCTCTGAAGCAGATCACGCTCTCTCTGAATTGTCTAACACGTCACGACGGGCCCCCCTGGTCATCTGACCTTCCCCATCCCCCTCCATCCTCTGCCTCTCGCCCTTCACCTCTCCCCCCCCCCCGGGCGACTTTTGAGTCCACTCAAAGCATCCTCTGCCTCTCGCCCTTCACCTCCCCTTTCCCCCCCTTAAGTGATAGACCGAGTACACGTTCTTCCCAACAGGGCGGCGGTGGGGTGCGAGTATGGCAGCTTCAGCCCCTTTTCACCGTTTATCGTCTCGTTTGTATCTGCCCCCACCCCTCCCGCCCCTCCCCATAGCGGTGGTGCAATGCGAGTATGGCTGCTTCGGCCCCTCTTAAAGCATCACCGTCTGTCAGTCACCCCTCTTAAAGCATCACCGTCTGTCACCCCTCTTCTCTCTGCAACTAGGCATGAGCAGATGACTCAAGTCTTGACTTGAATCGTTGGCTCGACTCATCCAGAGGACCACTCGATTTTTATTTTTATTTTTGCCTTCCGGCTTGACTCTAGTTGAGTGGAGTCGAGTCGGCAGTCATGGGCATTGCTTGGCAGTCATGGGCATTGCTTGGCTCGATCATCTGTTTTAGTTCGAGTCGATGTCGAGTCGAGTCAAAGGTGACTCGAGCGACTTGAAATTTTGCCTCGCACCGGAAACCCGCGCGGATCCATGCGGATCTTGCGTTTCGCCACCTGGCGTGCGCGGATCGGAGCATTTTGACTGCTGATTCGCGCGGATCTGACGCCGATCGAGGGGACCAAAAGTTCCCCTTTATGTCAAACGAGTCGAGTCAGGCTCGACTCGCCACGAGTTGGACCTGACTCGCCCCCAAGTCGCTGAGTCGGACTTCGGGATGTCCGACTCGACTCGAGTCGAGCCAATCGGACAGATGCTTCCGAGTATGGATGCTTTTGCCCCTCTTTTTTTATCACCCTCCGTCACCTCCCTTCTCTCTGCCCCCCACTTCCCACATCTCCCACGTGACGAACTGCGCCGGCGTCCTTCCCGACAGGGTGGTGGTGCGGTGCGAGTATGGCGGCTGCCTTCGCCCCTCTTGATTCACCACCCCCCTTCTCTCTGCCCCCCTTTTACTGTATCCTCAGCTGACAACCACGCCGCTGCCCTACCAGATGGAGCAGTGGTGCGGTGCTGTTGTGCCTGTTGCTGCCCCGCCAGTCGTTACTCCTTGGCATCGCCGTTGTCTCTTTGCCCTCCCATCCGCCCTCTCCCTCCCCTCCCCCCCCCCCCCCCCTCTCCGCCTTCCCATACCTTGCAGGTGACCAACCGTGCCGACGCCGTACCAGATAGAGCGGTGGTGCGGTGCGAGTATGGCATGGCGTCCTTCAGCACCGGGGAGAGGCGGAGACGAGGGAAGATGGACAGGTGTGCATGTGATGGACAGGTGTGCATGTGATGGACAGGTGTGCATGTGATGGACAGGTGTGCATGTGATGGACAGGTGTGCATGTGATGGACAGGTGTGCATGTGATGGACAGGTGTGCATGTGATGGACAGGTGCGCATGTGATGGACAGGTGTGCATGTGATGGACAGGTGTGCATGTGATGGACAGGTGCGCATGTGATGGCACGTGATGGTATGTCATAGGGTGATGTGCGCATGCGGGTGTGGCATGTGATGCGGGGTATGGCATGTGATGCAGTTATGGCATGTGATGCGGTTATGGCATGTGCTGCGGTAATGGCATGTGCTGCAGGTATGGACAAGTGTGAAATGTGCTGTGCAGTGCTGTCGTATAGTGTGCATTATGGGCATGCGGCTATATGGAGCAGCTCACGTACTGGCAAGGTCCCCGGTATGCCACTTAGTTTGTGTGTGTGTGGGGTTCTGTGTGTGTGTGTGTGTGTGTGTGTGTGTGTGTGTGTGTGTGTGTGTGTGTGTGTGTGTGCATGTGTCTGTGTGACTGTGTGTGGGTGTGACTGTATCAGGCGGTCAGTGGAGATATCGCTGGTCATCCGCCAAACACTAGAAGCAGCCATCATGCTCGAGCTTCTACCACGCACTCAGGTGAGGTGCGGTGATGGGCTCTGTTATGCGGTGATGTGCGCTGGTATGCGGTGATGTGCGCTGGTATGCGTTGATGTGCGCTGGTATGCGGTGATGTGCGCTGGTATGCGGTGATGTGCGCTGATATGCGGTGACGTGCGCCGGTATGCGGTGATGTGCGCTGGTATGAGGTGATGTGCGCTGATATGCGGTGACGTGCGCCGGTATGCGGTGATGTGCGCTGATATGTGGTGATGTGCGCTGGTATGCCGTGATGTGTGCTGGTATGTGGTGATTGAGGGGCTGTTTCTGGCTCACAGGTGACTTGACATGCTGCCTTGTAATGCAGTCGTGTGTGGGGATAAGGTTTTTGTCTCGCAGGCAAGGTGAGGGCTTATGCGTCGCGCGTATGAGCCAGTGCCGCACAGGTGAATGGTTGATGATATGCGTGTTTTACTGCATGTACCAATCTGCCTTGTACGTACACGGTGCACCTTGTTGCTGCATGCCATCCCTTTGGAACGGTTTGCCATGTTGAAGTCGAACAAGCGACTTGTCTTTCTTACATTTTTAGGGTATTCGCTCGAAATGTGTCGCGCGTTTCAATATTTTCAAACACAGCTCTCGGCCTTCTTCTGGTCGAACCTCATTTCGATTCGGGATGCATGAGCGATGTCATACGCTGCGCGTGGGTGCTCAGTGGGCAGAGTGGTTTAGTTTAAGAAACTTGAAACGCGCGGGGCATTTTGCGCAAACAAGGTGCAAAAAAACGGTATCCGTATTATACGGTCCGTTTTATACGGTCGTATAATACGCCAGATTTTTGAAAAAAACGCCGTTTTTTTAATAGACGAAAATCTTTGGAAAAAAAAAAGGGCAGACATGCAGAAACTGACAGTACCTTGGCTATGACAGACTACCGAATGCTACGCGGGCTAACAAGAAACTTTCCAGGTCAGTCTAGTCTAACTTACTCCTACTACTCCTCCACAATGCCCCCCTACTCCTCCACCATGCCCCCCCCTATTCCACTATGCCCTCTTTCCTCCCTCACCACGGCTCCTTCCTCCGATTCCCCCTCTTCTTCCTATTCCTCCTCTTCCTCCTCGTCCTCCCCACTGTCCCCATCACTGCAGTCCCACGGGTTGCTCCCCTTGGTCCTCTTTGCAGGCTCCTCTGGCCCGCTGCCCTCGCTGTCCGTCTCCGCCTGCTCCCCCTCCTCCTCCTCCTCCTCCTCCTCCTCCTCCTCCTCCTCCTCCTCCTCCTCCTCCTCCTCCTCCTCCTCCTCCTCCTCCTCCTCCTCCTCCTCCTCCTCCTCCTCCTCCTCCTCCTCCTCCTCCTCCTCCTCCTCCTCCTCCTCCTCCTCCTCCTCCTCCTCCTCCTCCTCCACCACCACTTTCTCCTTCCCCTTTCGGGACCCACTGCTTTTCTTGGCCCGCTTCTTGCTCCGGCACTTCTTCTTCTTCTTCCGCTCGCCGATGGAGCCAAACGTGTCCCAATCGATGGAACACGCTACTCCAGCCACACACCCTCCCTCCTCCTCCTCTTCGGGCTGCTGCGGAGGGGGGCGAGGCACATTGCTGCCCTCCCTCAGGCTGCCGTCGCTAAGGTCGGCGTACAGCCTTGCCCGGACCTCCACCTTCTGGTCGTGGGCGGCGCGCGCTCGCCTGCCAAACGCGACGAACGTGACGTCTGTCATGGTCTCCGCGTTCAGCTTGTTGCGGTCGCGCCTTTGGACCCGAGCCAAGGCCGACCAATAGCGCTCGACCTCGCTCGAGGTCACTGGCTGCGAAAGGACCTGCACAGCCAGCTCCTGCAAGGCTGCAACTTCGCCGCTGTACATCCACCACCACTCGGCGTCGGACAGCCGGCCACTCTCCACAAGGGCCGTCGCCGCCCAGCGGGCGTCCACCGAACCAAGGCGGCCCTCCCCCTTGTGGAAGGTGGCCAGCTGCGCCGCAAGCAAGGTGCGGCGAGCCACGTCCCCTCCCCTAGCCTGAAACACAGCCTCCGCCCCATTCCGCACCTCGTTGTCGTTCCGCACCTCCCCCACATACTGGTTGCGCGGGTTCAAGAGCCACCCCAGCGACTGAAGTGGGTTGTGCAGCTGACCGTCCCAGCGGTGGGCGATGATTTTCTTGACCGCCGCCAAGAAGGCCGCCCTGTCCTTCGCATCGAGCAAAGCCGTGCGCTTCACGAAGAACGTGGCTGCACGAGTTGCATGAGTGGGAGGGCGGGATTGCAACCAGGTGAGTACGGGAACATAGAGGCTGACGGGACGGCGGGATGGCTATTAGAGGGTGATGCGAATTCAGAGGTGCGCTTACCAGCTGCCTCGGCGGCTGCGTTCGTGTTGACAGTGGCCTCCAGCATGAGGCCATAAATCTGGCCCATGAGGAGAGCCCGCCTGTCGACGGCCCGCAAGACCCCATAGACAGGAATCATGAGCTTGAGGACCGCCGAAACACTCTCCCAAAAGACGTCCTCCAACAGCAGGCCGCGGATGGCCTTTCCCTCCTCCGTGCGTGCCACTGCCACCTCCTCCCACGTTTCACTAATCACCATTTCTCGCAGGGACTTCTTCACTTCGAGGAAGCGCTGGAGCATAAGTACTTGCGTCCCGAATCGAGTAGCCCCCGGGCGCACGAGCTCCAAGGCGCTGAAGACTTCACGGAAGAGGGTCACCGCGGAGGCGGACGTCTTAACCATCATGCCGACGCGGTGAACCTGCCCGAGGACGCAGTGCACGACGGGGAGGGCGCCCATGTCGTGCAACATGAGATCAAGAACGTGGGCGGCGCAGTTGGTGAAGTAAACCCCTGGGTACCCCTCCTTCAGCAAGGCTGCGGCCTTCTTGTTGTTGGAGGCATTATCCATAACAACTTGGACGACGATCCGGTCCCCCACTTCGCAGATTGAGCGGCGGATCAACTCGGAGAGGTAGCTGCCGGTTTTTTTCGCAGTTTTGGAGTCGACAATGTCGACCACAACTGGTGCGGTGTCATTTTGCGCGATGACGCACACAAAGCCACGGCTCTTGAGGCAAGACCAGCCGTCCACGGTCAACGAGACCCCGGTCGTTTGCCAAGTATCCTTCAGCGGCTGTAGCAACTCCTCCGTGTCAGCCTTGAGCTTCGCGAGCAGTGGGCCCGAGACCTTGTACGCGGATGGAAGCTTGTAAGGCTTCCCGAACTCGATGGCCGCGTCGACGAAGGCCTGCAGGGAGGGCGACTGCGAGGTCCGAAAGGCCCAGTCGTTATCCGCGACAGCAGCTGCCCACATGTAGTCCAGACGCGAACGTCCGGCCATATCCGTCAGCTCACGAATATCGCGCTGACGCGACTGAGGAGTCGGGTGCACCGTCGAAGAATCGGCGCGAGTTGAGCCAGCGACGGTCGAAGAGCCCTCTACCTCAGGAGTTGTGCGCAGCTGCTTCGCAAACTCCGACGGGCACATTGCAACGTTCTTGTGCTTGGACTTAGGAGTCCCATAAAGATGCTCTCCGATCCTAGTAGCGTTTGGAGTGACGGTATCGTCACAATATTTGCAAACAGCGCTAGTAACAAGGCCGTTCGGGCCCGTCACTTTCGTCACATGCTCCCATAAGGACGACGGGGGCCTAGGCATGGCGTGGCTAGGAAACGCCGCTAGCTGAGGAGTATGTTCGGGTGGAATGCCGCCAAGAAAACGAACTACTGGATTGTGCTCACCTTGCTGGAGATGTTCCGTGTTTGTACCTCGTAGCCTCGCTGCAAAGGTGTGAAACAATCGATGCGCTAGCTGGGAGGGAACGGAAAGGACGACTTGTGATAGGGCGCGAACAAATTCAGCGACTCGCCAGAGCTTGGCAGGCTTGCGATGCGCGCGAAAATTAGACCTTCTGTGCGCGAAAAGACCCAACGACACTGACGAAGCGGGTGTACAGGCCCTTCAGAATTCGCCAAATGTTGGGTCTGCGCGGCTCGTGAATCCGTCAAATCCGCGGCTCGGTGAAAACCGGAACACGACGTTTCTGGGTGAGTACAGAACAACTCGATAACATCGTGACTTCGTTACAAAAACTAGACCGACCAATGTTTCGGTGGGTTGAAAAAAACGGCCGTATTAAACGGCCGTATTTTTGCACCAACCAACAAAGGTACACTTTTAGCGTTATAAACCGTTTTATACGACCGAAAAATACGATTCCGTATTATACGCAAAAAAAAAAAAAATACGGCCGTATTTTTGCACCTTGTGCGCAAATACCCTAAAGAAATGCAAGTGGCGGCATGTTGGCATTGCATTGCATGCATATTAGTTTGGTGTTCTGTTCATTAGCCCCGTTGCTGACCTCCTCCCATCTCTTCTCTCCTGCATGTCACATGCCATTATCCCTTGTCATGCCACTCCGTTCCATGTTTCTTGGTACGCACTTCAGATCGACATTTTTGTTCAAGTCTTGCAAGCTGATGGCGGTAAGGCGTAGATGGATGGCCGTGCGGATGCCAGAAGAGAGACCAGAGCTAAAGAAAGCCGTGCATGAAGGGTCGTGGTCTGACACTAGCAAAGCAGCTAACCATCCATCCTCCTCCCTCCACCTTCATCCATCCACTTTTTATCTCGTTCATCTCCCATCATATTTGATCAAGACTCATGGGTCTGAGGTCATGGGTCTGAGGTCACTGTTGTCAATGACTATGTGTCTTTGGCGTTCGTTGTGGACTTGTGGAGCGCTCTCTTGGGCGCTCTCTTGGGCACTCTCTTGAGCACATGCATATGTCTCTTCTCTTGGCCTTGCATTACTGCTGTTACCACTCTCTTGGCCTTGCGTTACTGCTTTTACCACTCTCTTGGCCTTGCGTTACTGCTGTTACCACTTTCTTGGCCTTGCGTTACTGCTGTTACCACTCTCTTGGCCTTGCGTTACTGCTGTTACCACTTTCTTGGCCTTGCGTTACTGCTGTTACCTCTCTCTTGGCCTTGCGTTACTGCTGTTACCACTTTCTTGGCCTTGCGTTACTGCTGTTACCACTTTCTTGGCCTTGCGTTACTGCTGTTACCTCTCTCTTGGCCTTGCGTTACTGCTGTTACCTCTCTCTTGGCCTTGCGTTACTGCTGTTACCTCTCTCTTGGCCTTGCGTTACTGCTGTTACCTCTCTCTTGGCCTTGCGTTATTGCTGTTACCTCTTTATTGGCCTTGCGTTATTGCTGTTACCTCTTTATTGGCCTTGCGTTACTGGTGTTACCTCTTTCTTGGGTTTAGGTCCCACTCATACACCATCCTAGCACATGTTGGTACTCCTCAAACTTACTGCCCCAAAAACCTTTCCTCCTCTTTCCACCATCGTCCCTTGCTCCCCGTTTCCTCCTCCCTGTTAGCCTCAACCCTTTGCTCCCTGTTAGCCTCAACCCTTTGCTCCCTGTTAGCCTCAACCCTTTGCTCCCTGTTAGCCTCAACCCTTTGCTCCCTGTTAGCCTCAACCCTTTGCTCCCTGTTAGCCTCAACCCTTTGCTCCCTGTTAGCCTCAACCCTTTGCTCCCTGTTAGCCTCAACCCTTTGCTCCCTGTTAGCCTCAACCCTTTGCTCCCTGTTAGCCTCAACCCTTTGCTCCCTGTTAGCCTCAACCCTTTGCTCCCTGTTAGCCTCAACCCTTTGCTCCCTGTTAGCCTCAACCCTTTGCTCCCTGTTAGCCTCAACCCTTTGCTCCCTGTTAGCCTCAACCCTTTGCTCCCTGTTAGCCTCAACCCTTTGCTCCCTGTTAGCCTCAACCCTTTGCTCCCTGTTAGCCTCAACCCTCTCTCCCAATCCTTGTATTCCCATCATTCTTCATGCATCAACAGCCATCCCCCTCCACACACACACCCCTCCACACACCCCCTCCACACACTCCCCTCTACACACTCCCCCCCACACACTCCCCTCCACACACCCCCTCCACACACTCCCCTCTACACACTCCCCCCCACACACTCCCCTCCACACACCCTCTCCACACACTCCCCTCTACACACTCCCCCCAACACACTCCCCTCCACACACCCGCCCTTCCATTCCACCCGAGGCACTCGTGCTGCATTCATCAACGCAGCGACCCGCGCACTGTGCCATGCAGGCAACTGCACATGCCCATACCCATGCCCATACCCATGCCCATACCCATGCCCATACCCATGCCCATACCCATGCCCCCTCCACACCCTCGTCCCTGCCCCACCCACCTCAACCCAGGCACACGGTCCGCATGCATCAATGCAGCGACGCTCGCTCTGTGCCATGCGGGTATCCCCATGCGAGATCTGGCTACCAGCTGCGCCTCTGGTTACCTCAACGCCACTCCGCTGCTAGGTGAGCTAATCCTTGGCGCCACGTCAGCGACCTCACCACCACAGGCCCCCTTATAACCTCGTGCCACCCCATCACCTCGTGCCACCTCATCGCCTCGTGTCACCTCTCCACGACAGCCACCTCACTGCGTTGTGCCGTTTCATCGCCACATCACCATCCCTTCCAAGCCCTGCTTCTGAGTCGACTCAAAAGTCACCTTCCCAGCCCTGCTTCCCTCCATTACTGTGTCGTCTCATCCCCTTCCCCTCTTCATCCCCTTTCCCTCTTCATCCCCTTCCCCTCTTCATCCCCTTCCCCTCTTCATCCCCTTCCCCTCTTCATCCCCTTCCCCTCTTCATCCCCTTCCCCTCCGCTCTACTTGCGCTCCCCATCCCTCTCCTCGTGCTGCAGACATCAACTATGTGGACCACAGTGGTGGCGAATCTGATGCTGCCCCTCTGTCCCTCTGCCCCGCTGTCCCTCTGCCCCGCTGTCCCTCTGCCCCATTCCCCATTCTCTCCCCTTTTTCCCTCCGGCTCTCTCACCGACCAGACCTCAACTACGTGGAGGACAGTGGCGGTGGCCCGGATGTCACAGTGGGCTACTTGCCATCGTCTGATAAGATCTCGCTGCTGCAGGTAGGGTCACATGTTGTCACTGTGTCACACACCATCATGAGTGTCAGTGGGGCGACTTGCCGTCTTCTGATAAGATCTCGCTGTCATGCAGTCACGGTCCACATGTAGTCACGGTCGCATGTGTTCACGGTTGCATGTATTCACGGTCCACATGTAGTCACGGTCGCATGTAGTCACGGTCGCATGTAGTCACGGTTGCATGTATTCACGGTTGCATTTATTCACGGTAGCATGTATTCACGGTCGCACGTAGTGAACGTCGCATGTAGTCACGGTCGCATGTAGTCACGGTCACATGTAGTCACGGTCACAAGTATTCATGGTTGCATGTACTCATGGACAATATGGACCCGTGTCTGTCATAGTGGGCTACTTACCATCTTCTGCCAGTTGCAGGTTCACACAGTCATGGTCGCATATGTCATGTCAGATATTCTCAGAGTCTCACACTCTCAGTCACAGACTCACGGTCACACATTCTCATGGTCACACTCTCATGGTCACACCTCTAACAGTGGTGCAAGCCCGTGTCCCGGGAAGATTGGGCGGCAGAGCACATGCCAAGGGATGGCTCTCTTCTACCTGATGGCATGCCATTGTGCAACCCCCATCATATCTTACAGATGGACGCCAAGCTACAGATGGAGACATTCGAGGAGGTGGTCAAGCTCGCTGTCACCGGGTGCAAGGCCATAGCCCACCGCATGAGACAGGTGGGTAGGTGGGGATAGGAGTTTGATGAGGTTGGTGCATTTAAAAGGGTGAAAAACAAGGTTGGAGAGGCTGTTTTGATAATCCACATGCTGCCTTATCTTCGTGGTCCCTTTTATTTCTTTCCTCTTTGTTGTGTTTTGCAGGTGCTTATGGAGCACACCGAGCGTTTAGCGCTTGCTCGTGGAGCAATGCAATTGTAGATTGTGTTGAGAGGTTGTCCCATGCTTGTAATGTTTTCCAGCGATTTAGGGCATAATTTTATTAATTGCAACACAACCGAAATTCTATAAGATGGTTGTGATGCTGGTTCTAGGTAATGGGACAACTTAGCGTCGGAAATGTCATGCGGGAGTTGAAAAATGCCAGACACACGCGTCGCACGCGCCACGCCACGCGTTGGGCATGTTTGTGTCTGTCACTTTCGCAACAGTGATCGCCTGGACGACCAATCGAACACTGTTGTGTAAATCTGATGTGTGCCGCGGTGTTCTATTAGAGTGTGTTCTTACCAGGGCTCATGCTAAGGTTTTTTGACACTCTGTTTCTCCCGGATTCCCCACCCCCCTGCTAACAGAAAGAAAAATGATTGAACTAGAATGTGTGTGTACAAGGATATATAGACTAGGGTGTTGTACCCTCTAAGGCACAATCCAGTATAGTCTACAGTAACAACCTAAGTTACATTTGACACACCCCCTAGACTATATAGGGGCAGTGCCTAACAAGGGAAGAAGCAGCTCAGGGCGGCACTACTAGTCCAGCCTCTGAGACAAGGGTCTAAAGACCAGTCACAAGGAGTACAGACAAGGCAACAGCAAGCCCAGGGCGGCACTACTAGTCAGGGCCTACTTTTGGATTTTTACTACTCTGATATTGGGGAGTTGCATTTAGCATTACTCTGATAATCAGAGTGCATCCTCATAGTTTCACTGATTTGCTAGGGTTTTTTTCCATTTTGAAAAATTTACACTGATAGTGCAGAGGGGAAATTTCCACAACTCTGTGCTGCTGTTATGCACCCCGACAAAGGTTTTGTGATAGACGGATAGACGTACGTTTCATTTCAAATACACATACATACATTAGTCACCATGCTCATCCTCGTCTCCCTCTGAGGCACTCTCACAAGAGCCACTATCCTCCTCTGACTCATCATGCTCCTTGCCCTTGGCAGCATCGCTGCTCCTCTCATAAGCCACCACTTTTGCCTGTCTGCAGTTCTTCTGGCGTCTCCAGATCTCCACGATCTCAGGGTAGTCCATGTCGTACTCCAGGAGGCTAATGGTCATCAGGTCGCCGAGTCTTGCATCACACAGGCTCGTCCTCAGCCAGCTCTTGACGGCGTTCTACCTGCTGAAACCGCGCTCGCACTCGACGGTGCTCAAGGGCAGAACCGCCATCGCCTGCCAGATCCTCATGAGATTCGGATAGCTCTTGGCCCAGTCCCTCGTCTTCAGCATGTTGGCGAGGCCTTGGCCGAAGTCGTCATCAGCACGGTGCATCTTCATGATGTGACAGAAAGTCTTTAACTCCAGCTCAGCTGCTCGACCATCCACTCCTGTGGAAGCGCTCGGGCGGGATTTGAGATATGGAAAGCGAAAACATCGATTAAGAACTATGGTGGTGTTGCCACCATTATTTAAAACATGGATACTTGGATCTGCATATAGCGAGACGACATTGTGAGTGCTAGGGATACGTGCATGGAGGGACCGAAAACATACATACCAGGAAGCTTGTTGTCAAACAGCTCCAGGTTCGACTTGACCCAAGTGCGCGCTCTTCGTTCCCGCACTTCCTGCTTCTTCGGCCATGTGTCCACCTTGTACAGCTTCGACCCGGCCATCCGCTTCAGGTCCCACATCCTTTGGTTCAGGTTCTGTACGGTGTCTTCAGCAAAGGCGGTGCACAGCGTGATGCAGGCCGCCTTGGTGCCACCGTACTTGTGACCGGGCAGGGAGCTCTCCACGAGCTTGAAACTGTGCGAAATCGGGCGCCCGTCGTCATCCGCGCCGTGCACCACCACCTTGCCTCCATTCTCGTCATAGCTCTGCAGAAACTTGCTGAGCCGCTTGCTCAGCCCCGCGCCGAAGGTCTCGCCATACTCCACGTAGCGATGCTTGATGTACGTGACGGTGCGGTCGACCTCCTGTGAGACAAGGGTGATGTCGACCTGATGTGAGGGGGGGGTAATAAAAGCAGTGACAAGATGCGAAGAAGATAAGTTATTGTCGAAATTGAAGAAAGTCCACAATCCAACACATGACAACAGGCAACAGACGGCATGAAACACAGAGACCAACGGGATATGGGACAAAAACATACCGACCGCTTCTGGAAAAACCTGTTGAGCGTGTTGAGCTCAGCGAGGATGTTAGCCAGAAAGTATAGACAGAAGTGGAACTTCAGCGTTTTGACCACTGGAACCAGCTTGTGGTTGCACTCAATGAGCACAGCGATTACAGCGCCGAGGACCCTACAGAGTCGATTTACGGCATCTCCACGAGAAAGCCACCGGATGTTGAAGAGCCCTTGGTGCTCGAGGTTCGTGTTGTGGATGATCAGCTGGAGCTTCTTGAACCTCTCGTACCACGGTGTTGAACGCCCAACAATCTCGCCGAAGCCACGGATGACGATGTCGATGATCCAGAGGTTGGGGAAGGCGCTGGCCGCATCCTTCACTGCAAGGGCCTCACTGCGAGATACGAAGAATCATGCAAGGTCGAGCAAGTAGCATGGATAACAAATAGTCCGACATGCATTGCATGCGAGGAAACGGACTCAATCCGTCGGGGCTGCAAGGGGGAAGACAAGTGTGGCTCAACCTGCATGAGCTCACCGATGTGCAATACAGTGACAGCCAACGAGATGCGGAATGCGCACCCGAAGACGCGCTACTAGACCGTTGTGCTCTCCTGTCATGACAGACGCCCCATCCGTGCTGATGCCCGCCACCTTGTGAAGTTCGATGCCGCAAGAGTCTAGGTGCCCGAGTAATGCCGTCTGCAGAGCTGCTGCGTCGCACTTGTCGAGAGAAAGCAGCGTCAGGAACTCTGTGACGACTCGCCGCTTCTTCAGGACGTCGCGAAGACGATGAGATGTTTGCCACGGGTTCTGTCAGTTGACTCGTCGCAGCTCAATCCGATGAAGGGTGATGCGTGGATATGCTGCATCTGCTGTGCTTTCAAGTACGCCACCATTGCGCGCACCATTTCCTTGAAGCCGTATCTGCACTTGGAAGGGCATGGAAAAGCCGGAATTAACTCGATGATTGATACGACAGCGGAGCAGTCGCAATTTCACCAAGAAATAGTACCAAAAATCATGAGGCACCCCGGTACTTACTGCGTGATGTAGACGCCATAAGTCTGCTTCGGAATGTCCTCGACACCCTCCTCTGCCATGAACCCGACGAGCCGCGTGAACATGGCGATCGGGGCATCCTCCTTGCATATGAACAGCATAGTTCGAAGTAGACGAATGATCCTCGCGCCGTCAGGGTCGTGCTTCCCGAAGTCCTCCATTTTCTTCTGATTCTCGACCTCCTTCAGCAGCGCCTCTTGCTTCCTGACGGAGTTCTCGTGCCTTGTGCTCTCCTCATGCCAACGCATCGAGCCAATCTGGAGATCCCGTCCACCAGCACCGTTGCGCCCGTATCGTGCGTGGTCTTTGCCGTGCTCCATGCAGATACTGCAACGCAAGCAAGGTGCACCATCGTTAGTCTTATCCAGCACTAGCCAGGGGAATTTCGGTAACCAGTCGGCAGTGTACTTCCGTTGCGCAGCAAGATAGGCCTTCGCCATCTTCTCGGCGGGGGTTAAAGCAGCCGAAGGCAGTTGCTGTGGCACGGGCTCTGGCTCTGGTGGTGGCGGAGACTTAGGGGGAGGCGGCGCGAACGGGAGATAAGTCTGGTTGAAGCGACGCTTCTTTTCCGAGGCGGACGCAGGAGTTGAGGCAGGAGTTGATGCCGTTGATGTGGACGCTGGAGTTGATGCAGAGACAACAGGTACAACTGAAGGTTCGGCGACAGGACCAGCGTCAACCATAGCCTCCAAATTCCTGTCCCATTCCTCACTACTGAGAGAAGGCAGAGGCTGTGGCTCAACTGGAGCGGTAGCAACTCGACGGAGAAAGTCGAGCCCGCTAAGAGGGAGCGATCTAGGAGTTCGCAGATGGACAGACTCGTCGCCACCGCCATCGTCGGGCTCACTCCTGCCAGCCATGACGGCAGTGGCACGAGTGACGACGGGCGGCAGCGACGGCGAAGGTAAGCGGAGGTTTTCTTCTGCTAGGACGTTGTGAGAGATAGCTTTGGTGAAGGGGAGGAAGGGAAGGTTGAACAAGACGAGGGTTTCGTCTGCTCTTCTTGGGGGTGTGTGAATTGTGGGGTGCCTCGGAGTGGGTGAGGGAGTGACGTCGGTCGTGCATGCATGGATGGTGGCTAAGGTCAGCGTGCGGTGGTGAGGGAACTGCTGCCAGCCTTGCAGTGATGCTGCAGTCGTGACCAACCAGCGCGAAGGATGCTGCCAGCAGTGGCAAGGATGGCAGCATATGACGTGCCACTGCCTGGCGGTACGTGTAAAATAACGCGTATTGCGGGATATTGGGGCAAGGCCAGGTACAGGGTACAGGGGAAATCTACAGGTATACCCCCTGTACACTAACCCTCAGAGGGGTACAAATGGTTACTCTGATATAATCAGAGTAAAAGAAAACATCAATTTTTTACCCAAGGCACTTAGAGCAGTTTTCAAAAACGACTCTGATTTTCAGAGAAACAGAGTAAATTACTCTGATAAAATAGGCCCTGCTACTAGTCCAGCCCAGGGCTCCCGTTATCAGACCAAATCGGTCTGATGGTCTGAAAATCAGACCGGGTTTTTATGTTTCATCTGATTTTTTGACGAGCCAAATATACTCGTCTGATTGTTTAGACAAGTTATAAGAATTCGTCTGAAACATCAGACCAGGTGTACACATTCATCTGATTTATCAGACCGGCCATTTTTTTCCGTCTGATACCGACAAACCCACCCTTCTAGCAGCAGGGCCACTACTAGTCCACATGCCCACTGGGCCACTGCCTGCCACCTGGTCCCACGTGCACCGCACCACGCGCATTCAATTCTACCCCGAGCGCGGCAGCAAAACAGTCCAGCGCACATAAACAGTCTGAATTCTCAGACACGTGCTTGCATTTCGTCTGAATCGTAAGACAGGCAAAAAAAATCCGTCTGACGGTCAGACGAAGCTCTAAGTACCCATCTGATTTTCAGACTGCCCTAAAAACTAGCAGGAGCCCTGGTCCAGCCACTGGGAGAGGCCACAAGGCCAGTCTGGGTAAAATATATATATAAAGGACAGTACAAAGTCAAGGCCCTAGCAAGTGAGAGGCTACATTTACGAGACCCAGCTGTACACAGTGCCGCTGATGATCTTTAGGCGCAAGCGCCTTCGTAAAGATATCAGCTGTGTTGGCACCGGAGGCCAAGTGTACTACGCGCTCCTGGCGACG